CAAAAAACATGCAAAAAAATAAAATACAATCAAAATCCTGCAACAACATCGTATGGTCTTATTTTGTTTGAGCTTGTTGTGCAGAAAATTGAATATAATTGCAGCCCCTCCTTGTCCTAGTGCCTAGCTACCCCATAATAACAAATAACAATCATAATAAAAGCATATGCATGTCAACTTTTTAGGAAAGCTACATCTCCATCTATGTCTCGTTGTTGTTATATTGACCAAGGAATGATAAAACCTAAATAATCAACTTGTTTTTGTACTGAAACGGCACCAACATATGTGTGCATAATTAATGAGATTGCACGTCTAGAATTTAAAGCAAGATCTATACAGAGTAGAGATGGAGAGAAGGTGAGCACAAAGTATAGATTTAAATCAAATATTGAGGTTCTATATCAAAAAAATATCTTATATTGAGATGGAGAGAAATTATCATTTAATACATCAATTTCAATTAAATTGATATATATTTTTTTCTTTTTGGTAGCAAGATATGTAATAGTTTTTCCCGTTGAATTTTGTATTAAGGGCATATTTGGTGCACAACGTAAGATAAAACCAGTCTGATAATATAAGATCTGATAATATAAGATCTGATTGTATAAGACTTGATTAAATTTTAATACTATTTAATATTTGACATGATATTATATAAGCTAATATATTGTATAAGCTAATATAATTCAGTATTTGGTAATGTACTGTGTAATATTATATATGATAAATTTTTTTTTTTGACAAAAGCATCATTTAATAAATAATTTATATAATTCTTCAAAATATGTCATATTATATTAACTTTTATAGAAAATCTATTGATCGGTGTATCCAAAAAATATATTAATTTTTATAAAAATAATTTTTTTTAATTTTTAAAAATTAACATATTGAATTTTTTTTAATATATTAATATTAAAATGATATATTAATTCTTGAGAATTGCACTAATCAGCAATATTAATACATGAACCGCTTATCAAGCCTTATTCCACCCCTTGGACCTGAATAAGTTATACATCATTTTATTGTATTAAAGGACATTACTGTATAAGCTTATATTATACGATGGTCTCACCAAACAACTAAAAATGTTATAACTTATAATATAAACTTATAGTATCAAACAAGTTCAAACAAGCCTAATATATACATTTATATTCCTATGTATGTTTATTACTTGTGGTGTAAAATGAAAATATAAAAAAAATTCACTTCCACCGCATTAAAATAGTTACAGGCATGCAACATCTATTACTTAACTTTCTATGATTTTAAAATTATTATTTGGATTAATTGATGTGATTACAAAATATATAACTTTATCACTTGAATATTAAAAAATTTCTTATTATATAAAATGTCAAAAATATTCTTACTAGATAAAACATTGAATTATAAATAAAATATTAATATTATATATGATTACAAGCATGAGAAGGGTTATACTTTTAAATTTTTTTTATGTCATGGTTGGTATAGTTTTTCAAAGGGTATTTTTTTGCATTACAACCACTTTTATGCTTGTTGGATTAAAATAAAATTAATGACTCTCATTCAATATCATTTTAGAACTATTGATTTGATTATGATCTGACAATCATAAAAGTAATTGTAAGAAGTTATAAAAGAAAAAAGATTGAAAGTATAACTTTTCAGAAGAAAACTCTAAAGCATTAATTTTTGTACAATGGATAAAATCAGAACTAATCAATAGACAATAATATTAGTACCCCGTGATAAAATGCAGTTTTCGATTTGAAATCAATGTTATAGAAAGATTCTGTTAACTCTCAATAAAATCACAAAGAAATTAACAAAAATCATATATATTCAATTGCTTATGAGAGATAATATTCATAAAGGTGTTACTATGTGTATACAATGATAAGCATATATATATATATATATGGGGTAAACATTTCTATAGTCACTTTAGATAAGCTTATCTACAACTATATTTTATAACTATGTTCTCTCGGGAGAATATAATTATAACATTAAAAGTTAATTTTTTTTCTCTCTCCTCATTTACTTTTCAGAACCTGTTTGCTGACATAGAGAAGAAGAAAAAACAACTTTAATGTTATAACTATGTTCTCCTGGGAGAACATAGTTATAAATGAGTAGCTATTGATAAACTTATCTAAAGTGGCTTAAGAAATATTCTCCCCGAATTGAATAGCCGATATGATTTTCTTATGAAGGTTTTTGATTTTTTTCCATTTTGATATGATAAAACAAACAAATTAATCACCGCTCAAATTTGAACTGAATTGTTGTTCAGATTAATATAAATAAAGTACTTTATTTTATCATCGTAATCGAGAAAATCGGAACCACAAACTTAAAATCTTCATCAAACTTGCTAAGTTTTAAATTCAATAATTTAGCAATAGTTAAGTGGGTAACAAAGGAGCTAACAGTGGAAAGGAAAGAGCTCCGACTCAATCCTTACGTGTCACTTTAATATCTCCATTCCAGATCTATTTCGCATCTTAAATTAGTCTCATAACCGATTACCTTCACACTCTGTAGCACAAGATTTTAAGTCTACCATTTCACCACCAAAATCCAGTTCTACTTTATTGGAATAGGGGAATAAAAAATTCAAGCAAATGAATTTTACTTTACTTATTAAAAGAGTCAAATTTTGTGAGATGTTGGAGGAGTCAAATTATTGGCTCAAAAATATAATTATGGATGGGTAACTAAAAAAATTAATAATCGATAAAATAAAATTAAATATTTTAAGGCTTTTTATAAGCTAATTTTTTAAGATGATCTAAACAAGTTACAAGGATAACATTATACACGCAACCATGGATATAACTAGCTACAAACCAATAATGGATTCAACACGTCTATGTCTATCCACAACTTCGAAATTTTAATTAATTTGTGAACCGGTGGATATGGACAAAGTGTGAGATTCAGAATGTTATATATATCAAAGCCTGACAATCTCGAATTAATTAGACTTAACTAGAAATTCAGATTTGCAGGACAAATTCAACGGATGAAAGCATACGCATTCAAAAAAAAGTTGAAGTCCAGCACCTGACAAATTTGATATCTGCACAAAAGTTCAACGTTAATTATTAGTAGTTAAAGCATACCTTTCATTTTTCATTTCACATGTATATGAAAGAGATGTATTATCATTTCAAAATTTAAAATTTAATCTCTTAATTGATGTCTATCTAACTATCTCATCTAAGTTCAATGCATTTTTATTTTCTATTGGTAATAATAATAAAAAAAAACTCATTTGAAAATAAAGACATAATTGTAATAAAACTGTATCGATTTGTTTAATCTTATTGTTCCGAATTCCGATCGATGTATTGGGTCCTATATCTAGTCGAGTCCTACCTCAATCTCTTCTTATATAATTGAATTACAGTTATTTATTCCTAATAAGAAATATCTTTAAAAAGATATCTGATAATCCCACGCTTATAGAAACAGAATATTTTCAATTTATTTTACCATAAGTATCGAATATTCATACCTTAGGTATAAATATAACTTAATTACATTTACTACACTGATCTCTTATTAACTTAGGGTTAGAGTCTCTGCTGACTGCTGATCTCTGATTGCTGATTTGCTGATTGCAAGTACAGATATCCTATTGTGTCAATTGCACCACCAACATCAACTACGCTCAGAAGGAAAAGTTTACCATTGTTCAGGTATTCAGATTGAACGAGTTTATCATCTGAGCCAACATTCATGGTGGCACTATCTATTTATTCATTTAATTGCCATGCATTGTTTTATGGTTTTCTTTTAATAAATTATTTATCAATGTATGTTTAAATCATATATCACCTCCCATGCACAACTTGTGTAAAATCAATACAATATAATACACGTACACATCTCACTCACGTTACATTAATAAATAATTGATCAAAAGCTTCAATTGCATCGAAAAACTTTATTTTGCAATTTTTGTTTAACTTATTTCAAGCTTCATCAGTTAAAATAATCGTAGAATTAATACAAAGTATAAGAAAACCAAAGTCTCATGAAGCATTTAAACATGACCGAGTGAAGAGCCTTGAAATTTCCAAAGGGCCACGGATTTCCACAGGGGATAGATGCATCATAATGGGAGTGTGGACCAAAACATAAACCAAACGTAACACACGAACTCAAAACAAGGACACGTGGCAGATAGCTTTGTCCATAGGTACGAGCAACGTTTCCCATGCTACCACCATGACTCAACCAACAAAGTACAAACAACAACGAAACTTTTTCTTCACACAAAAAATTTAAAAAAAATTTTAAAAAAAAAAACTCAAAATCAAAAGGAAACTGCCAAAAAGCCCTTCCCCTTAGAACCTGGTACACCGTACTCCTTTTTTTTCTCTCTCTTTTCCGGGTCCCACGCCCGGTTCCACGCTGGCAGCTCGCACGTGCCCCACCAGCCTCACCTTGTACTGTTCCCCCACAACCCTGCCACACACATGTTTAACCCCACACTCGCGGGCCCTACCTTTTTCACGTTGTTCTTCCTTGGACGACCAGAAGATAGAAAAGAAACACCAACATTAAAAAATAAAATATTAAACAAAAAACAACTTTGTTGGATTCTAGCGGTGCCACGCGGCACCTCTAGTCGGCAGGTAGTACGTGGCACTTTCATTTTTTAATATAAATATAAAAATAATTTTTTTACTATTTAACTATCGGTTAAAGGAGAAAGCAGAGGTAAGGTACTTGGTTACCCGATCTCCAGTTACGACATAGACGGATTCATATTACCGAAATGCCCCTATAAATTGGCCATAACTACGACCTGCCTCATAAAATCTCTCTTGTCACGGTTATAGACAAAAAGATCTCCCACTAAAACAAAACACAGTCTTTTTATTATTATTATTTATTTTAAATTAAAATTATTCAATGAGTGGACCGAAAGAAACCCTTAATAAAACCCCACCATACAGCACTGCCACCCGTATTTGCATGCCATTTTTCTCTCTTCAGTTTTCTATCACTACTTGTACTTTTGCTCCTTCTTTCCCTTACATAGTGCTCTCTCAAACCACTCCAGCTAAGACCTCAAATAAGATCCCACTCTATAAACGCATATAGACAGAGTGTGAAGACCCCCAACAAATACATAATTTCTGAGCTAGACGTATATAGGGAAGATACCAACAAAGCATATATATCCTTTCTTAGCTACAAAGGTAGCGAGTGAAGCAAATATATAGATCATCAACATGGCTGTTGAAGCTGGCCATCTCAACCTCTTCCACCCTCAACTCATAGGCAACTGCAACTGGTATGTACCTTTTCTTTCTCCTCTATTCTTTGATTATGGGTCTGTTATGCAATGTCTCAGAAATTAAGCTTATTGGGACATGAATCTACAGGGAAATGATGAACCCCATTGAGTCAAGCATCAATCTTTACAACAATCAGGTGATAGGTAATAATTGTTCACAGCTGCCACTATCTGGAACCACCACAGCCACAGGGGAGACTCTGTTACCACCGCCATATCTAGCAGTAGCAGATTCTTTTCATCAGAAAACCGCCGTGAAATCTGATAGCTGTCTCACCTACAATCTTCACTTTCCAAGTAAGCGTTCAAGGGAAAATTCAAATTCAACTAACATCTATTCCCTCCCAACCACTCAACCTCACAAGAGTTTCAATTCCTTCTCATTTCTGGGCCAAGATATTACTCTTCAGGTTCAACAACAGCAACTTGACGTTGACAATCTCATTGTACAAAACGTAAGTTTTATATTAGTCCTATCCAAATACACAAATTTACTTTTCTGGGTTTGCTTCAAAATCTGATCTTTCTTACTATTATTTGATGCTCAGATGGAAAAGGTGAGAATGGAGATACACGAAAAGCGAAAGAGGCAAGCGAAGAGGATCATGGAGGCAATAGAATTTACCGTTATGAAGAAGCTGAAGGCGAAAGAGGATGAGATAGAGAAGATTGAGAAACTGAATTGGGCTTTGGAAGAAAGGGTAAAGTCACTTTGCATGGAGAATCAAATATGGCGTGACTTGGCACAAACCAACGAAGCCACCGCCAATGCTTTACGCTCCAACCTCGAGCAATTGCTGGCGCAACGAGGCGGAAGCTCCGTCGTTGACGGCGGCACCACCGTGCCCTATGCTGGAGCGGCAGTGATGGACGATGCACAATCCTATTGTGGCAGCACAGACAGTGATCATCATGAAGATGGTTACGAGAGTAATAATGTGAAAGGGTGGCGCACGTTAGCAGTGTGCGCGGGTGCGAAGGATAAGGATGAAGGGGAAGAAGTTGGTGGGGGTGTTGGCTATAGCATTGGCAACAGCAGTAGGAGCAGCAGCAGCAGATTGTGCAGGAACTGTGGGAAAGTGGAGTCGTGTATGCTGATTTTGCCGTGCAGGCACCTGTGTCTCTGTACTGTTTGTGGGTCTACCCTACACACTTGTCCTGTCTGTAAATCCTACAAGACTGCTAGTGTCCATGTTAACATGTCCTAAATGTAGAAATTAATTAGGACCTTGATCAACCCCACAAAAAAGACCTATATTTCACAAGATGGAAAAGTTAAAATTCCAAAATATGTCCATTTTTTATTGTCTATATGCTTTTTGTTTTACTCTTATTTTGTTTTGCACATATATATAATATAACGTTTGAAGAGAGATATTCTCGTTACCAAAAATTTTCACTATCAATTTACTATCTATTTAATTATCAACTCTCTTCAAATTTTTGTTAATAATTTTTTTTTTATCCAATGGTGATAGTAAGAATTTTTGGTAGTTAGAATATCTTTGCTCGTAATATTTAGCCAAGAAATTAGAGAATATAATTGCAATGTTTTTTCTTACATTATCCAGTTTCTTATTTTACTTTGAGTCGGTTCGAAGCATGTTATATTAAATTTAAACACACTATTCTTAAAATCATTTATTAAGTTGGAACAATTAGTGTCAAGTATTTGGTGGTTGCATTGTTGTGTGTGCATTTGATGGTGTTTTTATGTTCCTAGTGGAGCCTTATGATATATGGTGTTCTTAAATGTGTGGTGGATGTGGTTGGTCTATTCTACCCTAGCAGTTCTCGTCGTAGAGAAACGGTGGCAAAAGCTGACACGTCGCACGCGCGCAAATGTCGCTGTTTTTTAAAGAGTGCCTGCAACGGCCATTTCTTAAGAGTTCAGCCTTTGGACCAAAGGCCAATGCGGAACCCGACACTGTAAACCGGTGGTTCCCAACACTGCCAAAAAAAATAGAAAGCTATTATTTTTTTATTTTAAAGAAATAAAAAATATGAGAGAGAGAGAGGGTGTGAGGTGAAGAAAAAGTCTGGGAAACCAAACCTGCTCCGATTATTGGGGTGATTGACGAAATTGATAGCCCTACATCGCGTAGAGAGGACAACGGCGTTTTATTATGCTGATGCGTTTTCTCCCTTTTCAACGAAAATGCAAAAATAAAATAAAAGATGGTGTTAATTTCGGAGGCGGTGCAGGTCGAGATTATCGATCTGTTTTGAGGAGTGAGAAAGAGAAGGAAAAGATGTTATGGTTGAGTAAGGCGTGTCCTATAAGAGCATACTGTGCGACCTAGTTTCACTCTAGCAAGTAATAGTTAGGGATGACAATTCACCAAAAGGCGTTTGGTTGAGGAGAAATTTTTTGAATACTAGAAAAATGTAATTGATAGAGAAATAGTTGAAAAATGAGTTAGGTAGTAAAATGTAAAAAGTTGTTTGGTTTGAACAAATTTTACCGGACAAATTCGGTAAGATTTATAAAATCTAGGTTTGGTTTGAGGTAAAATATAGATGGAGAAATAAGTGACAATCACAAAAATATCTGTTATTAAAAATTTTAAAACAAAAAAGAAAAGAAAATAGAGAACAGAGACAATGAAAAATGTGTTAGCCATAGTTGAATTCGTTGTGGGTTGGTGCTGAGTTCCTCTATTTCTAGATGGTTGAAATGTGTTAGCCATAGCAGCCATTGCAATTAAGGATAACAAACATGTCCGAGATACTGAATGGGGCTGATATATTTCCTATTTTCTGTTCTGTATCCTTTGTTGAATTCGTTGCAACCAAGGAGATCATGGCATGAATTCGTTGCTAACTTGGCATTCAGAATTGACGAGAGAATGAAGCATAGTTGATAGTGTTAACAACCCTAGTCCCTGTGATTCATATTAAGCCAAGAAGGGTATTTTCGGTTGCTTCATTTTTGCTTTTTGCAATTTTGCTGGCTATCCACAAAAACCCATGTTCAATAAAGCTTTCTAAATAGTGCCAATGCCTAGCTATCATCTACCAAAAAGGGATTGCTATGCAAATGGCATAGATGAGAAACATTAATGAATCTTGTGTACCAAACATAGACTTTGTGTTTTCCCAAGATGATTTGCTTAGGGATCTTTCAAAATCTCCTCTGTAATGTCCCACATCGGTTGAAGAGGGGAACGAAGCATGCCTTATAAGGGTGTGGATACCTCTTCTAGTGTGAGGACTTTTGTGGGGTGTCCCAAGAAATAAAACCGTGAGCTCGACGATGCTTGTGTGCGGGGCAAAGCGGACAATATCATGCTACAGGGTTTGAGACTGTTACATTTGGTATCAGCGCCTGGCCCTGGACCGGTGTGTACAGCGGGGACGCTGTATTCCCAGTGGGGGAGGATGTAATGTCCCACATCGGTTGGAGAGGGGAATGAAGCATACCTTATAAGGGTGTGGATACCTCTTCTAGTGTGAGGCCTTTTGTGGGGTGTCCCAAGAAACAAAACCGTGAGCTCGACGGTGCTTGTGCGCGGGGCAAAGCGGACAATATCAAAACCGTGAGCTCGACGGTGCTTGTGCGCGGGGCAAAGCGGACAATATCATGCTACAGGGTTTGGGGCTGTTACATCCTCAACGAAACAGCACCTAAGGATTTGGATGCTACGGTTACATGAAGAATCGTAATTATACAAAAAAAAAAAAATAGTAATAAAAGATGAGAGAGAAAAATATTATAATAAATAATTATAAAATTATAACCGTTGATTTCTTTTTTTTTCTATGATTGTAATCTTTCTACATGATAATGTTATGTTTTTTTCTTTCATTGAGAGGATCCATTTCCATTCAATAACACATACACATCATAATTATTACTATGATTATACTTATTACTAATGCCATATGAATTTAAGATCAGTTTAAATTTTGTGACTAGGATATCATTATTTTATTTTATGAGTTGATATGATAGAATATCATAGAATAATTTACAAATCCTAATTATGTTAAATATTATCCGGATTGACAAGATATGATGAGATGATTAATTTTTTTGATACGAATATGATTATTTTACTTTATGAGTTGATATGACATAATATGATACCAATAATTTGCAAATCCAAATTATGTTAAATATTATGTGGGTTGACAAAATATGATAAAATATAAATAATTTATTTATAATACTACATGACACAAATAATCTATAATACAGATTAATTTTGGATTGATAATCATTTGATCTATAGACAACATCGTTGTGGTAAAGGGGTTGATATGTAATACAAATTTATTTAAGTTAATTTTTGCCACCGCAAACATAATTCGAATCTAAAAATGGATGGACCTAAATATGAATTTTTCGTATCGTATTGAAAATTTTCACTCTAAACAATACTTATCAAAATTATATTCTCTCTTTATGTTTATCTCACACTAATAAAACATTGTAAAAGAGTTCATTTTCTATTATTGTTAAAGGGCTTTGTATCTCTCATTTGATAGGAGAAAAGAGATTGTGTAGTTGACTCAAATTTTAAGTGGAATTTACCTATATTTCTCTCTACTTACCTGTGGGCTTCACATGCTCTCTTATGTCTGTGACATGAAAATAGTCATTTTACAACAACAGAAGATATATTTAATCCATTGTTAAATACTTAAATATCTAATTTTATTATGAAATAACGGTTTCTTACAATAAAGATAAAATGATTTCTTACAATTTTAAAATAATGTCTATTTTGAAAAAATTTAAAAAATAAAGACATTTTATAAATATTATTAAAATATTATGTGTGCTAAAATTGTAAAAGGAACGTTAAACTCATTTATTAATTATACTGGCTAAGATAAGAATAATAAAAATTTACTGTAACCAAGGTAGGTACGGTGGTCCTGACTGACTAATTATTATGCGGGTACAGTTGTACAAAATAAGATCCCTTGCAGTTGATATTTCACGGCACGCGGTTAAAAATGGTAACCTTTATCGTAGTTCACTGCTATTCTTACTCTTTTTGTTTTTGTTCAACAGTGCTGATTGTGTTTCTGAATCTGACTGAATAATGAACGGCTTTTTCCGAATGGAAGGGCACTATTTCAGTATTTTGATTTTTTTTTCTTTCTCACCCTTGAAAATGGGGAAAAGAAGAAGATTATAAGAATGAAATTTGTGTTGAAATACGTGTTAGGGACACGCGAGTGGTCAATTTTCTTTTTAGATTTTATAAGAGTTATGTTGTATTAAAAGTGATTGTGTCATGTTATATAGATTTGTTTTTCATGCTTTATTTTTTTTTTTTTGCTTAAAAAAAGTGAATCCCATAAAATACTATGTGTGTAAGAATTTTTTTTTCATGTTGCATGATGAATGCAAATCTCTTCTTTTTTTATGTAATTTTGTTTTTGTTTTGTTTGTGAGATGTCTCACCACTCACCTGTAGTTGAAGACAATGATCACCAAAGGAGGTGGGGATCTTGGACACGTTTTTTGTTTTAGCCTTTTAGGATAAGGCAACGAGAGTCATGTTTTTCTTTTATTCCGTTAAAAAAAAAAATTATTTCTTATATATAAAGAATAGGTTTTTTGATACTAATATTAGTTATCATTTATTAATATTAATTCTGAATAAATGAAAACCGTTGATTGATGAAAATCAAAGGTTAGGATTTGATGTCGAATTTCAAAATTTGACACCAGTATCAAAGAATACTATCCCTTTATATATATATATATATATGATCTTTTGACAGCACTGTCAAATTTAAAGTTAGACACTTCATCAGAGAGTCATTAGATCAAAAAAGATCAACGACTCTAATGTATAAGCATGTGACACCACTAATATTTTTTGATCTGATGGCTCTCAGATTAGGTGTCAAATTTTAAATTTAACATCAACGTCAAAGGATCTTATACCATATATATATATATATATATATGGGTCAGGATCATTTTACACCAGTGTAAATTACACTCTTAATCTTGTCCGTTAAACTCATTTATATCTAAGGGCTCAATTTTTTTAATAATGTGAGCTAATGGATACAAGTGGATCAATGGTCAAGATTGAGTGTAAGACTTTTAACTTTTACATCGGTGTAAGAATATCCTACACACACACACATATATATATATATATATATATATATATATATATATATATATGAAAAAAGAGGATCTATATATAAATATATATGAAAAAAGAGGTAGACCCTTTGACATTAGTGTCAAATTTGAAATTTGACACCTCATATGATAATCGTTAGATCAAAAAAGATCTACGACTCTGATTTATAAGCATGTGACACCATTGATCTTTTTTTATCTAATAGCTATCGCATGAGGTGTCAAACTTCAAATTTGA